TGTGTTCTGATTGGTTAAGTTAGCTTTAGGATCTTTGATATTTATTGGCTTTTATTTTGGGGCCTATAGCTAGGGTATTTAAAGCTGTGTTCGTGTAGTTTTCTTCACTTGGGTTGGGGAACACAGCCTCATGGTTATAGTTCCTCTTTACTGTGCTAAGAAAAACTCATGGTTTATGAGCACTATTTGATTAGTACCTTAGAGTGCTAAGAAACCCTCATGGTTTAACAGTACTCTAGGTCTTAGCTAGCTTTAGTTTCACGTTTTTCACAAGTTCTAGGTTTTTCGTTAGGAAACACTTCGGATGTAGGTTTAATAGAATAAATTTAATTTCCCCTTTCCAAGTCCAGTCTGGTCTAGGAATTTGTAGATAACAGGTATAATTCCTAGAACCACTATTTACTATTTATTATTTATTTTTGGTGTTGTTTATTTTCTGGGTTAGATATTTTTAGAGTTCAGATTTAGCATTATTATTTTAAGTTCAACTCTAGAGTGTTGATTAGTAGAGTTCATATTGGGTGATGTTGCTCTTTTCCCTTACATTTTTCCAACTCATTGACATTTATAGCATTTTTATAGGATTTTTGACCTTTTTCATAAGTATGGAAGCTCAGTAGGGGCATAAATTATTTTCATAATAGCGTTGATCATAGTTCAGATATCCCCTTACCTGGGTTGACAGACATAACTGGAGATAGTTTACTGCTTTAAGCCAAATTGGCTAGTAACTTTGTTAATTTATTCATTTAAGAGTTCTACTTCCGGTTACAAATAGATTACTCTGATATCTCAGAAGTTTTTATCAGTCCCATTGTAGGATAACGAGGTTTGACAACAAAGTTTGACTAATCAATAAGATATATATAGACACATATGATGATCTTTTTCTAAAAAAAAAAATATTTTCTTGGCTTGTCAAGCTTGAACTGAAAATGTTTGGTCCCCCCCCCCCACACACACACACACACACTTAAATTGCTTCCCATGGGCCTGACCCCATAAATTAAAAAATGATTTCACAGATGACTTATAAATGAAGACATTTTAAAAAAAAAAATGAAAGCTACATACACGTTTCTGCAGCTACTTAAGGTTGAATTGTTTGCGTGCTCTTGTCTTCATGATCTCTTTCCTGATAATTAAATTCTTGTTTCAAAATAAAAAATGCTTAATTTAGTTTTATCTATTGTTTTTATTTTACTTTTCATTGTTACTATAATTTTAAAAAAAATAATGAAAGGGCTTTGACTTGCATTTCTTGCAAATGTAGAATTTTTTCACATTGAAATTTAAAATGCAACTCCTGGTCTCAAAAGTTGTATTAATTTGTAAATCATTGAAATTTCTGCCACAAAAGTTTTTATGTTAAAAGAAAAATAAAGTATACAAATAAACATAATAAATAAAAAAAATGTATTCCATTCATGTTTAGGGGTTTGTGTGATTCCTACATGTACCTCTGTATTTTTTTTTTTTTTTTTGGCATCAGAACTGCTACACATATGCTAAAACTATTAAAAATACATAATATTGTTTGAAATCCCAGGGCCTACATTTACCTGATGCCGATACAGGAAGTTTTCAAAGGGCAAGGTCAAAATCCATTGATGACATAGTTTGATGCAGACAACACGTGTATCTTGTTTTGCACAGTGATTCTAAATGTATAAACGTGGATTTGTATGTGCTTAAGAGTTTTAAATGTAACAAAGGCAGGAAGTGTGAATTCATGATAGAAGTGATGTTTCACAAACTGTTTAACCGTGTTTACAACAAACTATAGTATACTGCCTAGTGTGTTGGATTTATTTGCAAGGCAAAGGTAAAGTTGTAATTAATTACAAATCTAAATTATTAGAACATACTAATACTCGCTTACAGATAGATCTATCATGCTATGTGTTGGTAAAGCAATGATGTCACTTGGTTGAATTTTGTTGTAGCCCCGATCGTTATTTCCATTATGCATTAAATTTATTAGTTATGACTTCTGAAGTAGATATGAATTAAATCTTACCTCTTTTCTTAGTAGTTTTAAGCACTTGTTTCCGGGTAGGTCGAAGATGCTGTTTTGCTAAATTTTTTTGCTGATAAATCTGTGTTGTGTATTGGGCACTTGGAAAGTCTCGGGCTGTGTTGCGTTCCGTACATCGGTAAGCACAGAGCATTCCCGAACGTGTGTTACGTCATTACGTCACTGACGGCGATGTACAGAAAATCACGAATATAATGATGGATCCCCTTCCGAAGTGGCGGCCATTTTGGCAATGTTAAATCCCCGTAGACTTTGAATTTGCCGCCGTGTCAATACACCGGTTGAACTCGAGGGTTCGGATAAATGCAGGAAGTTTGGAAAAAAATGATCTATCGATCGAACTTAGTTTGAAGGCCAAGGTATTTATACATTTTGAGATATGAGGCGAAAAGTGAGGTCCTTGGTACCGTGGGACAGACATAGTAAATCAGCATGTTCTTTTTTTCATTCATTCAACAGATTGGACAATCCTTGTCGGTAAGCAACCCTGGGAGAAATGATAACAATATCCATATAAGTAGATTCCTCGGACATGCATACACTGTATCTCTCTATTGTACTAATTAAGACCCGCCCATGAAAATTTTATGGAAAAAGTTAGAGGCAGTCCTACTTTTACCGAATAAATGGCTTATTAATAATGGATAAGAGGAAAAAAATGATAATATCCGAAGAAATCATATGAAGAGAATTTTTTCACTGATTGGTTTTATTTCAAGATACTTCTCTTATAGAATTCTTGAGAGGATAATTTTCACTCTATCGTCTTTGTATTCAAGTTTACAGAGCAAGGAGCTCTCAATGAATAATGCTGTCTAAACATAAAACTTTCCAATATTGAAGCTACTGTACATGTCATATAATTTACCCGTGTATGTACCATTACGATTATTGAGAACCTTACCATAAAAATATATTTACGAGAGGTGTCACATTTTACTTAACAATATATCCAGATAAGTAGCTTGAATAGTCGAAAAATTTGGAAACCTCAAGTTAACTCTATCCTGTTGCTCAGGTACTCGACTAAATATTTCACTAATATACCTATATGTATTTGTAGTAGTTTGATATGCAATAATTGTCTTATCAAACTACTATTAATTATGATATCCTTTCAAGTAAAGGGAACCATACATGTAGTACAACATAACAATGTAAATTATGAAATTAATAAATTTTGATAAATTTCACATTGATTAGGAATAAAGAATGACTTTTTTTCATTAAAATGGAGGGGCTATCTTATATAGTACTGAATGGGAAGAGGCAGTTTTGACAATAAAATTACAAAATGTACTATGTTTCATAGACTAGAAACATACCCGGGAAAATATCTTAGTCACAGCAATTTAATCATCCTTTACCTTTTTAAGGTAATTACTGTCAATGTTTTGAGATTTCCTTTATTTTCTTTTTCATAATGTTGGTTAAAACAAGTGTAACATCTCATATTTCCGGAAAATGCAAATACTTTACAAATTCACAAGATCGATAAATTGTATTCTTCTGCACATTAAATACCACAAAAGTAGTCGAATTAAGCTAACCGTTTTCTTTGCAGTACACATGGACCGAAATAGTTTAATGACGCAGCTCAGGTAAAATCCCGCCGACGGTAATCGTTAACTTAAAACGCATAAGGAGTCTCAGGTAGGACAATGTTCTTCAGTTTCTTTTTCACATGTTTTATTCCTGTCATTAAATTGCAACATCTTACAACATGAAAAAAGATTTCTTATTTTCAGTTTAGTAACGTCACAAAATGTAATTTGCAGAACTGAAAGAAAATTTAAGATCAACGTTGCATTACACCATAGTTTGCAACTTAGGACTTCTGTAGCACAATCGAAGACCCAGTCAAGCGCCTTTGAGCTATGTCCGTTTTATTCATAAATATATCATTATGTGAGGAAATTTAACAAATGTACATGTATTTGTGATGCATTTCAAATGATAACAAAAATATGCAAAAATATATGCTTGATGCACGTTTCACGGATAGATGCATCTGACCTTGTATGATCAAACAATGGAAAATAAATATATTTATACCGTTGTGAATAGGCTGACTTGTTATTATCACATTCTATATGTATATGCAGGGACAGTGTTCAGATTTTTTTATCGGATTCATATACCTGTAGATATATTTTTCTACTAAACAGATGTATTTGTTAGTTTCCCTTTTCTGTTGTTGTTTTTTTTTTAAATCCACGAAAACATATAAATAGAATAGGCAGAAATCTATTTAAGGAAAGATCAAAATATGCAGGATGAGCGGGATAAGTCATTTTGTTATAAAAATAATATAATGTTATTTGATTTTTCCAAAACACAAGGTCTCAGTGTCAATTTCATCTTCGCTAGCCAAGGGTTTCTGATACGCTACTCTCCTCATAAACCCTTGTCATACGGTGTTAAAAAAAGTTGGGATTTTTTTCTCAAGTTGTGATTGGAGTTGATCGACATCGTTCGACCAATCAGCAATTGTTTTTTGTAAATGACGATATTTGCGTTCGGGATATATCTTGACTCTTTAATATCGGGGATGAAAAACGCAAGTAAACAACGATCCGTAAGATATCTTAAGCTACCTGCAAAATATGTGATTAAGAATCAATACTGAAGATGTAGATTTGCATTTTAACATGTTTAAATAACAAATTAACATAACTCAATACCTTCTTGTTAACAATATTTTTTTTAAATACGCGTTTTATTTCTGTCGATGACGCAATCTGTGCGTACCTGGTAAGAATCTTGATCACGTGACGAAAACAATCCCGTCTTTTGTCAGCACAGTATGCCAAGGGTTTATGAGGAGAGTAGCGTATCAGAAACCCTTGGCTAGCGAAGATATATTATAATATCATACGGTTAAACGTAACTTAGTTCACAAAATTTATGTGCAAAGCACTGTGTACTGTAATGGAAAGATCAATTTTCAGCTGAAGTGAAGATGCAATTTATTGTGCTTGGCTTTGTCTTAGTAACAGCAGTAAGTAAATAAAATTACTTAAAACATCAATTCTGCAAATTTGATTTAATTTGATTTGATTTGATTTTTGTTATTTTCATTTTATTTCACATTTTCTGGTCCACAAAGTCTTTTAAGAAGACATAATTATTTATTTTCTCTAACTAAAGTAATGTATTTCTGATCTGTATCCTTTCCAGAAATAATGTATATATATATTTATTCTTATTCATAGAATATTAACCTCGTAAAGACAACATGTACAGCTTCGGTTCCAACAATTCGCTACGTAACTTCATGTCCAAGTGATGAAGTATCATGGAGAAAAGCCGAATTAAGAAAGAACTGCGAAAGTTTAGCAGATATTCAGAAATGTGATGATCCCTCTAGATTTAAATATCATTGTCTTGTGAACAACTATCTGAATGCAACTTTAGAGGTGTGCGCACCAAGCCGATTTGTCACAGGTAACACCTCTAATCAGCATAATCATTAGATATGTTCAAAGCATGTGATGAATGAAATTGAAATTGTAAGTACAATTGCGTGGTTAATTAATGCTTTTTTAATAGGTTTTTGTGCCGATTTCAACACCCTGCAAATAAGAGTGACGGAAAACCACAATATTGACTGTACAAAGCTAAAGCCCGCATGTCCTACAAGATATGTATCTACAGATATATATAAATGTAGGTTACTTTAACCAAATAAATGTTCTGTTTGAAAAAGCTAACAAAATGAATAATATATTTGTCATTTCAAGACCCAGCCTGCTACAAACTGAAGAAAAATTATGATACAATTGAAAATTCCACTCAGTCAGCTGAATACAGTACAGTGAAAGACTTTTCAACAACAACTTTTGTACAGAACAAACCGGAAACGAGGTTTGTATTGTAAATGGTCAAGTTTGAAGCATACTACTCAACTGAATAGTTACACTTAGTCTGCTTAGTCTTATAGAAATATTTGTTCTAAAATCACCAGGAACAAATTCTATATAAAGATGCATGAGAATAATTTATAAATAAAAAGATTTTTAAACCACCCATTTACTAAATATTTTAATATTGTCTTTGCTGACCATGATTGTTTCTATAGTGTATCAATGTGCATTAAAATAGTTATTTTGTACAAATTACCATTTTGTATATGTAAATGAAAATGCGTTCTATTCACACTTACACTCTCCCAAACACACACCAAACCTCTCACGCTCCACACAGATAAACTCACCCTCACACACAAATACACCCTATCTCTCATATACACACATACACATACACTTTTCAAACATAGTAGAGTGTTTACAATGCGCCTGCAAATTTTAATTTTTAGTAAATGCATATTGTACCTATTCCAGGACCATTTACGTTGCAGTAATTACGCTGGGAGTTTTCTTATTTATAACTCTTTTCATCGGTGTTTCTCTTGCTGTCTACAAATTACGCAAAAGATTCATATGTAAGTAATCCAGAAGAAATCTCTCAGAAAAATATTAGAAAATTATGAAAGATGTCAATAAAATTATTAATCTTACTTCATATGATATTTACTACATGGTTCTTTTCTAGAGCAATGTATTTTTACTCTATTTACTGTGTGCTAACCCCCCCCCCCCTCAAAAAAGATAAATAAATAAGTAAGCCTAATAAGAAATAAACTAACTAAAATAGTAATAAAATATGAGAGGGTTTTTTTATTGCATGACTTCATATAATGTCTTTGATATTCCCAAATACACTTTTCAAATATTTTACAGTCCACCAAATATCAAAGAACCCTTTAGATGATACAGGTAAGCCGATATTGTAAGTTCATGTTGCTTTGATTGTTATCCTATGCATAACCTTTTTAGCTCACCTGAGCTGAAAGCTCAAGTGAGCATTTCTAATCACATTTTGTCTATAGTCCGTCTGTCCGTCTTCTCAATTTCAACCAAACTTGCCACAAAGCATCCTTGTGTGAAAGGGATTCAAGTTTGTTCAAATGAAGGGCCACGCCCTCTTTCAAGGGGAGATAATTAAGAATAACTGAAAAATTTATAGCATTTCTTTTTAAAATCTTCTTCTCAAGAACCACAGGGCCAGGAAAGATGAAACTCATGTGGAAATATTCCCAGGTAGTGTAGATTCAAATCTGTTCAAATCATGACCCCCGGGGGTAGGGCGAGGCCACAATGGACGATCAAAGTTTTACATAGAAATATATAGGAAAAATCTTTTAAAATCTTCTTCTTAAGAACAGCAAAGCCGTGATGAGTCATATTTATATGGAAGCATCCTCAGATAGTGTAGATTCAAGTTTGTTCAAATCATGACCCCCGGGGGTAGGGCGGGGACACAATGGACGATCAAAGTGTTATATAGAAATATATAGGAAAAATCTATAAAAATCTTTTTCTCAAGAACAGCACAGCCATAATGAGTCATATTTATATGGAAGCATCCTCAGATAGTGTAGATTCAAGTTTGTTCAAATCATGACCCCCGGGGTAGGGTGGGGCCACAATGGACGATCAAAGTGTTATATAGAAATATATAGGAAAAATTTTAAAAATCTTCTTTTCAGAACAGTAAAGCCCTGATTGGTCATATTGATGTTGAAGCATTTTCAGGTAGTGTAGATTCTTTTTTGTTCAAATCATGACCCCTGGGGGTAGGGTGGGGCCACAATGGAGGATCAAAGTCTTAAATAGAAATATATAGGAAAATATCTTCTTCTCAGGAACAGCAAAGCCATGATTAGTTATTTTGATATGGAAGCTTCCTAAGGTAGTGTAGATTGAAGTTTGTTCAAATCATGACCTCCGGGGATAGGGTCGGGACACAATGGGGGATCGAAAATTTTATATAGGAACATATAGGAAAATATCTTCTCAGGAACAGAAAATCATGTTTAGTCATTTTGATATGGAAGCATCCTCAGGTAGTGTAGATTCAATTTTGTTCAAATGATGACCCCTGGAATAGGGAGGAGCCGCAATGGGGGATCAAATTTTTACAAAGGAATATATGGGGAAATTCTTTTAAAATCTTCTCAAGTACAACAAAGCCATTTATTATATTGACATTAAAGCATCATCAGGTAGCTTAAAATTCAAGCCCCCCTCCCCCCCCGGTAATCTTTTCAATACTGAACTGATTTGTGTCTTTGCCTAGCCAATGTGCTCAAGTGAGCTATGTGGCCCATGGGTCTCTTGTTATCGCTTGGGGCCATATGAGTCATTTATCCAAGAGGTGACCAAGAGTTTGTCTTGAATCTGAATCATTTAGTACAATATTTTCATTGTCCGTATTATTTACAGAAATTAATTTTTTTTGTCTGTCTCTTTAGTTTTAAGCAGAAAAAATAAAAGTATGTCACAAAGATGGCTTCAGATTCTGCATTGCTACGAATTTGCTACATGTGACTTAATGTTTGGGACCATGGATTGTTTAATATCATTTCATTTACTTTTTATTGTAGATGCAATGCTCAAATTGTTTAATGATGACGCAGAAGAAGCAAAGCGAAAAATATATCGCAAAGGTTTGGTGTTAAAGTTTCACTATAAGCCATTTATAGAAACTATGTTGGTATTAATATTGGTCAAATTTTGTAAATGTTTCTTTCTGTTGTGGTATGAGTTACACTGCTGCAAAGCATAGTCATGAAATTGGCAAAAACGTTTGGCCCAACAATTTTCCACGTAAAGGATATACAGTGCTCCCTCGTTTTACCACCAACATTTGTACCTATGCAGATTTGGCGTTATAACGGGGGTGGCATTAAAACGGGGGACTGTAATTAGGCACTTGAAAACTGAAGAAATTGGCACTTATTGCTACTAAATCTTCATTATAATGTTGGTACCTTTAATTTTTAAAACATTTATCTACTATTGATTTTTTTTTTTGGGTGTTATTTTATTCTTTAATAATAAAACGTCTTTGTTATTTTCTGATGCAAAGTCCTTAGATTCCAAATAGCGCATCACAATCAATTCACAATTTTAAACTCAAATTCAGCTCCATGTCGGGCTTCGTAATATAACACACCTCCTTATTCAACACTTGTTAAAATGGAACAAAATATAGCTATGTACTCATAGTATTCTTTTTTCACACCTAGGAAACGTTGAAACCCCAATTACGGCTTGTAAACACAACATGGCTTGATTATCTTGTGACTTTTCAGCTAACTAATGGAACCGACAGGAATTATATACGCTCCATTGCACATTTCACCTGTGAAATTGATACTTCATTGTGTAATTTACTTCTTATTAATTAAGTACATAAAACGTAATTTGACTGATTATTTATGCATCCATTATTCTTACAAACATGTTTTATTTTTCTACATATTTGATTACATCAGACTAAACTGGTTGTAGAGACAGATTAAAAAAAAATATAACTTAACGATATTAATAATGATCATATAATTTGAACATGTTGAATAATTTTTAGAGGGGTGTAAATATATGTTTCTCATTTAACTTTATCTTACGGCACGGACCTACCGATCCGATTTTTGAAAAAAAGTATTCGGTAATAACGTTGGCGGCAATAATGAAAACAGACGGAGTTGTACTCGAAATACGTTGGCGGATGGCGTTAGGCGGTGAATGACATATATTAAAACGGGGTATTATATAGGGAGAAAATCGGGACTGAATTTTTTGGCGGTAAGCGCGGGTGGCATTATAACGGGGGAATTATAACGGTGGAGCACTGTACATATCATATTTATACTTTGTTTAAATTTCCAAATTAGAATGCAATTTCGTAACAGGTATTTCTCTTATATACATGTACGAGCATTCAGAGTAAAAACGTAGTAAAATTATATACATATGGTTATGACGTGTAAACTAGCATTCATACTTCCTGTTAAATGTTTTTACCTATGGTGCTTCAGAAATGACAAAGACCCGCCTCATTTTCGTGAGGATGAAGGAAGATTTTTTTTTTCTACTATATCCAAATAGTCAAATTCTCATATTTTCTTTGAGTACTCGACAAAAGTGGGGCTAAACTCTTCTAAAAAATTCTGCTATTGCGAAATGCATTTTAATTTGTTAATATATACATAGAATATCCCTCATCTGGAAAACAACATGAATAAGTCAAATATTATTGGTCAATTTCTTAACTATGGTTTGCTGGGATGTATCTCCCAGGCTACAGCAATTGGGAATATCTTCAAAATTTGACTGCTGTTAAAACAAGTTAGACTTTACTTTTAATAAAATCTTAAGAGGCAGTCCACCGAAAAACCAGGCAGTATTGTATTAATAGGCGGCACATCGAATGTGAGGAATATTTTATATTTTATTAAAAACAATATCGATGTAGCCCAAAAGGAATAATGTAATTGAAGATTTGTTTGATAATTGCTTATTTAGTAAAATATCCTTGTGTTTTGTGTTTTTGAATGCCCCTATATAAACCATTGAATGTAGGTTAGAAACAAAGAACTGTAATTTCTAATACATTTTTAACAGGACTATAATTCACACTTAACTAAATCTAGAAATATTTCAACTTTTTGTTTAAAAAATAAAATCGGTGGGAAAAACACTTTTGATAGTAGTTTTCTGGCAAAATATAAGGACGTTTTTATGAAATTTTGCGATGCAAGAGTTATCTCCCGTGGCATCGGTAAATCTGCTCAACACCTTTTTATCGGAATCCTAGTGAAATATTTAGAATCGATACACTAAAGAAAATAATTAAACAAAAACTAAATATTTTATTTTCAAAATATAATTCATTTTCGCCTCCAGACGTAATATTTAGATTAAAATTGGCTCTATTATTCAGGTTGAATCCACGTTTCCATTGATGTATCAGTGACGTCATATACCTGACTAATATTGCGTCACAATGAAATAGTTACAAGTTTCCAGAGAAGTTTGTGTAAATTCTTTGCATAAAAGAGTAAAAAGATTTTTAAAAAATTATTTCTCTTTTTCTGTTTAATTACTCTTCAGAGTGCATTATTCTAAATGTTAAATAATATTTTAATATCAAAATGTATTTTATACACGGGCGGCGTCTCAGCTAGATGACGTTTTGATAAGTAATTTTATACATGTCTGAGAACTAATTTTTTTTAACTGATTTACTAGGATATGCGTAAAAATAATTAATGAAGTGTTTATCATGAACATTTCTTATAGAATTGGGAATCAATGATGAATGTTTTAGATTTACGCAACACTTAATTCAACGAAGTTGAGATGTTTACTTCATGATATTTGTAATATATTTATCTATGCAGTCAAATCAAAATAAACAATCCGAAGTACGATTAAAAATGGAGAAAAAAAAAACCTGAAAAATAAGTTATAAAAACATATTAATTGAGTTAAACTACTGCGGAACTCCCCACTATAATTTGGCTCTAAAACGGAAGGTTTAGTGAAACATATCGTTTTTTTTTTAATTTTACTTATTTATTTTTTTTAATTTGGCGATTGAAACAATCACACACTCACATTTAATATGGAGTTTAAACATGTGACTATGTTGGCCAATTCTAAAATGTTTTCACGTTCATGAAACCAATTTTTAAAAATAATAATGTCATGACACCCCCCTCCCCCCCCCCCCCCCCCCCCCCCCCCGCTTTTTGCTTGCGATTTATTGGCTCTTGAATAATGATACTATATATGAAAGAACTTATTTTCTTATTTATATAAAATCAAATTTTGTAAAAGAGGAAAAGGCTTTACAGATGAAAGGTAAGAAAAAACTTGGATAAAGTCGAGACTGTACACATAAAAATATTTCCTGTATTTAGGCAAGTTTAATTTCGCCATAGATAGAATTTACTCTTTAATTCCTGAGGAAATAAAAAAATTTTACTTGGAAATAAGATAAATAATAAAGCTAGAAAGCTGTCTGCTCTCATTTGTTGCATAATGCATGTACAAATACTTTTTTTTTAATACCGAGTATCTATTAAGAATTCAATCAGATGTTTTACATGTAATCTTCATGTACGTAAAAGACATTAGTAATTTAAATAATATTTAAGAAATGAATTTCATTTTTGAAGATTCATGAGGTCATGAACTACGACGCTTCACGCCGGCATATTTCATGAAGCACGTTAGCGCTTCATGATAAATATGCCGGCGTGAAGCGTCCTAGTTCATGTACCTCATGAATTTTCAAAAATGAAATTCATTTCTTATATTTACATTATTGTTTTGATGAGTTTCCACAAGTTACACCATTCAACTGTCATTTTTGAAGCAAAACCGTTTGCACTATAGTTTTGACGTCAAGTACGGTATTATGACGTAACAATAGAGATATTCATGATCATCTCATGGTAGTTCATGAGAAAATGAACAATCTTTTAATTTGCAAAGAATCTTAAGGAAAAATACTTGGAAATGTAAATATATAAATTTGAATCTATGGTTACACTCATTTAAAAACAGATAACTGACTGAAAAGAAATAAAAGACAAGCATATTTTTCTTATAAATTAAAATGAAGAGCCAAATTTAGGAAATGTTTCTGAATTTACAGTAAAAACCGATCCCGATCCGATCGAAAATAATGCAAAATTAACAAATTTTTCAAACTAAAGGCACCTGCCACCTATATAACATGTTAAAAAAATAAATCAAGTAAGTTTTTACTCATATTACAACAAAAGAGCCAAATTTAACATTACAATTATAGTATTTTTTTTCTTTATATAATTCCGGTCGGGATCGGTTTCATTTGGGAAAATTATATTTAAAAAAAAAAGAGGTAAATTAAACTCCTTTTATTTCTTTCAATATACCTGTTCCCACTGATTTTATTGAGTGATTCAAAAGTTTGTACTTTGTATTCATAATAACATAAGAAAAAAAATCTGTCCTTGTAATGTATTGGGTTTTATAACGTAATGAAAATTGGATACTGAATTCAAAAAGTTACTTGCTTAACTCAAATTTGGACCATATAATTTTTTCTAAAGAAGTATAAATTGGAGTCTTATTCATTAATAAAATAAAAGATAAGAGTCTATGCTATAAATAATATTCATCGACACATCCAGCTTCTGAGTATCTGTAACATATAAAACAAAATAAAAACGTAATAATTTTTTTTACCCTTATGTTGACCTTTTTGCACTTAAAATTAAGCATTTACCAAAAATAAGACTAGAGGAGCACTAAATTTTTTTTAATGTTGTCATGTGTAAACACTTGCTTTAATAAGTCTACATGCAAAAAATAATTAAAATCCATGACATGCGATGTGCCACCCATTGCCTGGTTTTTCGGTGGACTGCCTCTTAATACTATAAAAAAAATCATGATTTTCATTTTTTATTAGCTAGCAGTACCATTTATTAAGAATTTATATAGAAACTTTGTGTAACTGTGAAGAAATTTTTTTCTATATCTTTAAGATGTTATGATATGATAGAAAAACAGTTATAAAGAAATTTTAAATGGAAAAAAAATCATTGCACAAAGGAAGTCGCAGTGCCAATTTGTATCATCCATATTATTTTAATATTATTTATGTAAATGCACTACTTAATTACTGTTCAATCGACATTACTACTCTTAAAAAAATCATACAAAAATCCTTTCAGAACATGTTATTATAAATTGCTTGTTTACATGTGAATACAAAACAAAAAAGATTAATTCAAGATATGGAAAGCAAACATTTTCATGGAAAAAATGTTGTGCGTCTATACAAGCTTAGCTAAGCATAATTTCTTGACACCTAAAACCATTACATCTCTTTTATCATAAATATCCTAGAAGAAATTGTTGATGAAGAGAGGGAGTTGGAGGAGGAGGAAGATGATGTTGAAAACAAATATTACCAACTTGTTCCGTAAGTCAAATTACATAGAATTTCTCCTGAATGTTTTATATCAGGGTGAATGAAAGAAAATTGTTTTCGGGGTTTTAACTGTAATAAATGTCAAAATTTAAAACAGAATATAAAACATTTTTCCTCTTTTTTGAAGGAAAGAGAAAAGTGACTTCACAGATGAAGAGGAAGGTAAACATGGTTTAAATTTCATTTACATCATTATCATTTACGAGTCGCCCTGGCTGTGCATTATTCAGAGTGTTTATTTTTCTCTGTATACTAGTATTAAGGCTGACTCCTCCAAATCTTACTAACCGTGTGTTTCTAACATTCATTTACTACTTCCACAATAAAGTATTGCCAAAACGGTTGTTAATAGCCCTCCTGGATCTGAAATCGAGACCATCCCAAATTTCACCTGTTTACACTGCCATTTTGGGTGACAAGACAATTCGGTCTAACATGCTTCGTGCATGAATTGTATATACATGTACATGTGCGGTATTGTTCGGAAGTAGTAAGTAAAAAATGTTTGGAACACGTGCCTGATAATATTTTGAGATATACGCACATATACAAAGAATAAATTGCGAAACAGAGCATTTTATGTGTTCTATAAATATGCACATCTTTTTTCATTGAGTGGCACCGTAGCTCTCTGGTTGTCCACTCCGATTTTTTCAGACCAGCGAACTTCTGTTCTACAGCTAATGATCCCCTTAAATTAGTTAAATTCATAAAAACGTTCATGTCAACAAACAATGGACATCTATGTAAAATGAATTTGCTTGAATATAAATTGAGTATTATCTAATAAAGAATGCTTAAACGTAAGTCTGAAATTACTTTAATTTTATATTTGTAGTGTCTATGGATAAAAATGCTACGGAGTTGCTGGTATCTTCCAATGAAGGTATTTTTTAATATAATTTTGTCCTGTCTATAGAAATCTATACTTAATCTTGTTGCAATTTAGGATGTACATTTAAAAAAAAAAGAAATTATGCAAGATCAAGAAGTATGTTATTGTACCTTTATACACTGTAAAAATTATAACATTTTCAGGAAAAAAAATGTTTTTATCTATAAATCATGAGAAATGGTGAGTTTAGAATTAACGAGAAATGATATATGCAACATTTTTTGCTTGATATCTAGTAATTTTTGCTTGATGTCTAGTGCTTACTTCTCTCTCAATCATTTCATAAGATACTAAAATACAGTCATTTTCTTTATACATCCCAATATATCTACATTTACTTTGTTATTTAAAAGGGATATGAAAAGAACATTTATATAAAAATCTCTTAAATTTATTTGATTTATTTTATTTGCTTTAATTTATTTTTCCTTTAAGAATCTACAAAGAGATTTCTTGAGAATGCCATATCTGCAGACAGTTTTTATGAAGAGACAAAAGTATACAAAAAAGTCGAAAATGTACTCTTAACAAACAATGTAGTCATACTAACAGGACCTCCAGGATTCGGAAAGACGCAAACAGCCATCCACCTGATGATGCCTTTCAGGGAAGACTGGGTAATTCGTAAAGTGGAAAATTACGTTGAACTGAACTATGTCGAATGTGCAAAAAACACAATCATTTTCATAGATAACATATTTTACGGAAAATCAAATGAATTCGCAAAATGGATGAAACCTCTTGATAAGCTGAACACCATTATTAGAAGTATGGATAGAAAAAGAGCAAAATTGGAAGACAACAGAGCTGGTGAAATAAATGGACAAACCACAGAAGGTGAAATAAAAGAACAAATCAAAGAAGGTGAAATAAAAGAACAAAACAAAGAAAGTGAAATAAAAGAACAAAACAAAGGAAGACGAATAAAAGTCATCATTACAGCTAGATCAGATAAAATTGAAGAGGCTTGTGAATTAATGAAGAAAAGGGCAATATTTAGGGAGGACTGTATCGTAAATCTGTCACAATATGAATTGGAAAATGATGAGAAAAAAAGAATTCTGATGAAACAATTCACATTTGCACATAGAGAAAAGGGCATTGAACCTCCCGATTTGAAAGATCTTTTCTGGGAAGGAGTCGCAAAATCTAAAGCACATATCGGTTTTCCTTTGTGTGCTCATTTATTTGCATTTGAAGAGGCATTTCGAAGAAAAGGAGAAGATTTCTTTTCGTGGCCGACGCAGCTAGTTTTGACACAAATTGAGGATGTTGTTAAGAATGACAAAACCAATAGAGTAAAAACATTGCTCCTTTTTTTACTTCTTCTTGAAATACATAATAGAAATAAAGATCAGAAATCAAAATATAAGCAAGACCTCATCCAGAACGAAAAAGACTGTGCCGATTTTCTAAAGAAGTCTTGTAGACTTGGTGAACATTTCCAACCCCTTAACTTTAAAAAGTTACCTAATGTAGCCGCGGATTTAACTTGGTCTTTATTACGCAAAACAGGAGAAAGTTCCTATCAATTCATTCATCAGAGCGTTTTTGATGCAGTAGAAACGTACATTTTTCGATCGTTTCCAAATAAATCAATTGCTCTTCTTCCACTGGATGTTATAGAGGGACAAACAAATGACAAAGAAGGGCTAACTTGGATGAAAGATGAGCATTTTAGATATTTGGCCAAAAGGTTTATTGCCGAGGTTAAATGTGGAAAGAGTTCGCATATCTGCAAATGTGATATTTTGAAAAGGCCAGAATTTATTCAGTTTTTTTGTGACGCAATCTTCACACTTGATGACAGAGACCTTGTTGATTTTTTCACTACAAAAAGTGTGGCATCACCTCAACTTCCGATTATTTTCTGGCTGGGACGCAGTGAATGTACACAATTATTAAAAACCCTAATTCCAATTATGGAACATAAAAAAATCAATGCCGTGGATCATATTTATTACTTTTTATTTGGAGAATGCACAAAAGGTGAAAGCCCAGAATCAATTGTTACCGATAACAAATGTAAAGATTATGTAAAAAAAATTGTTTTGTCCTTTAAAGATAAAACAAAGAATACTATTCTCCATATTCTGATTCAATCTAAGACAGTGGAAGACGATTTTGCAACCAAAATTCTCAAACAATTGATACATGTAGAAGAAGACAATATAGATATCAATGCCAAGAACATAGACCGGAAAACTCCTCTGATGCTTGCCGTAACTTGGCCCCTCAGTCGGAAGCATGTTATCGAAGAATTAGTCAAAAATGACTGTGATGTTAAATGTAAAGATCGTAAAGAGAATTCCGTCTTTCATTACTGTGTCGATGCAGATACTGATGACTTGACTTGCGCAAATGTAATAAATACCCTTTTAAGCACCAAAAAAAAGTTACTCGTAGATCTATCTACAGACAACACAGATGGGTTAACTCCTTTGAATTTAGCTTGTAAAAACACTAGAAACAGCAGAATTTTAAGTATATGCAGCCTTCTTGATTACGGTGATTCTTCCGAGCCAGAAGACAATACACAAAACGAAAAGACGCATTTTTCTTTTAAAAATGGAAGGAGAAGAGTAGGAGAGGTACAAAATTCATCTGAGCAGGTAAATAAAATAGACAGCGAAGGGAGGAATCCCATTTTTAATGTTGTTTCGTGCTTAACAGGAGAAAATGAATTAGTGGAAATGGAGCGGCTTCTTAGAGTTTGTATTTTGCTACTATATGGCGCTGACCCACACATCAAAAGCGATGATGGAGATAGATCTGCTATTACCTTTTGTATGGAAAAATCTTACTGCGACCTGGAAGCGATTATGGCATCAATGTCAAATACCTGTAAAAATGATAAACAAAAATCGACAGAATCTCTTATGATCAATGCTATAACAAAAGGGTTAAAGCGACTCTCAAAAACTCATGCTACTGGTGACCATATAGATATAACTATGAAGTTTTCAAACAAGATTCAAATATCAGAGGAAATGAAGAACGTTCTTTCAAAAGCTGTGCATTACTTGGCAAAAACAAGGTTAAACAGTAGCTAGGAAAACTTAAATTTGAAGCATGAATAATACCTTGTTTCTAATGTACTTTTGTCACATTGACAATTGAAAGGGCACTTTCAGACAATTTCTTTTAACTTAAAAATATCCCGTCTTTTATGTTTTAGGCGCCTGTGTTTAAAACTGAACTGTTCACAATTTGTATTCTTACAAGATCAATGAAAATTATATTATCTTCACCTTTTCCATTCTTATGTTTGTATTAGGATTGGATTTTACTGAGTAAGAAAATAACGATAACTTGGATTGGTTAAGATCGTTTATTATCCATTCGGAAACTTTCTAGTTTTACAGTAGGATTTGGGAAACGTCCTTGTCAGGGTTATACATAGAATGTAGATTTTGATTGGATAAAAGAGACAAACCTTCAGATCGCGGTGTATTTAAAGTCCAGCATTTCACTTGTAGATCAGTTGGTTTGAAACCTTCTCAAAGGTTCGTACCATGCAGCTCACTGTTTGATAATAGGGGTGGATCTCTATAGGTGTGAAAGGTGTGTTTTATGTGCTTCTGTCTATGCGAAATTTAAGTATGTTTTGACTTATATGTATATGTACATTTTATTTGTGCTAAATGTGTTTCTATGTTACTAGTTGGTAAAACTTTTTGAAGGTCATGTTTTTGTTAAATGTATATGGTCCGACTATAAAAAATATTTAGTTACTTACTTACTACATGAATCTCGGTCTCTGTCTCTGTATCATTCAAATTTCTTGGTAATGCATTGTCTCATTCAAGTTGCCGTATTGTTTCGTTCATTTACACATCTATTTTATTGTTAATTTTCCAGTTCCTTATTCCTATTTTTGGTAAACCGGTTAGGTTAGGCATTGTAGATTTTTCTTGCAGGGGTGGGTCATTTTTCTTCGAACTTATCATTGGGTAGGACGGGTTCTGGATTTTTTTTTTACACCTGTTAGGTAGGCACTATGTTTTTTTTATTGAGGCCCATTAGAAAGATAGGTCGTTAGTGCATCAGTTTTTGTTTAAATATATAAATGTAAATATTTTGTGCTGATGTTAAAATGTATTTGTGACCATAATAAATATTTGTTTATTTGCAAACTCTTGTTATTAAAATTCTTGGTTAATGTCCTGTCAAATTTGGCTACTTTGTAAGAACCTTCCAGGGGTGGACCTGGGTTAGTGAGATATGACAAATGAGTTTATGAAGTGTTCTATATTCTAGATAGTACAAATTTTGTTAAGAGTATAGCTCTGTTAACAATAACAATGTTGCCAAACACGTCTATGAAATAAACACGGGTAACACATGCAGCATTATACACCACAAACATACAATGATAAATGTAATGGAGACGATAAAGAAATGAGTTTAGCTTATATACAGAAGAGGTTGACCTTATGAAATAAGTAAGGTCTACAAGGAGAATAATAAAAAAGGTTGTCGTATTGTGGAGTGGCAAGCCACTCAGAGGCTAACCAGCAACGGAGGTTAGCCACCTGTAATTCGTCTTGTTGACATGTCTGGCGACCAGGCTGTTGTGTGCAGTGTGTCTGCCTGAATAAGGCTAGCAGTGTGCACAGCAGTTGAAGGGCTGTCGCTTGTACTGACTGTGTCCTGAATAAGGCTGCAGTACAAGCGTCAGTCCGAGGTTGGCCACTTTAAGTGATAGTCTACCCACTACAATTTACACAAGTCTACCCACTACAATTTACACAATCATCTGTAACTGTTTGATTCTCTATTTCATATTGTTGTCGAAATTATTAACCTAGATAAGGTTAGGCCATATTTTTGTATAAATTTGCAGGCCTTTGTTTTCAATCATTTGCAAATCATTTATTAAGGAAAATTTTATATTGAAATCATCCCCCAAATACTTGAATCGACAAGGTACGACCCCCTATAGCAATTAACATTCAGCTCGACACGTTACAATACAACGGAAAGATGTTCACTAAGTTTAATAATCTCTATGCTGCATGGCTGGCTATTGAATATGCTGCCAGTGGATTCGAAAACGAGTTCAGAGATTTGTTCATATATCACTCTCATGTCAAGTAAACCTGTTAGAGGCGCAAGACATATCTGCACTTACTTTAAAATATTTATAATTACATTTTCAAAGTCTTCACCCTAGACAGAAATAGCTTGATATTTGCTCAATATTTGCTCTTGGTTAGAAAGAAAAACAGAAGCCTTCATTCTCCCTGTAAAATGTAATATACATGTACAAAGGATCATCCTCGAGAGGTAGTTCCAACAAAGCAAATGTACTTTTGGTTAGGAAACCAGGTTTAAGGCGTATGCATTCCGAATTGTTGAAAGAATTGGAGACTTATAAGTAAAAATATCCTTTTTTTTGTTTTGTTTTCGTTTATTTTGTTTTCTTATATATATATATATATATATATATATATATATATATATATATATATATATATATATATATATATATATAGATAGATAGATAGATAGATAGATAGATAGATAGATAGATAGATAGATAGATAGATAGATAGATATAGATATATATATAGGTTTTATGATTTTTTTTTACTTTTTTTTTTTATTTTAAAAATGCGAAAATCAGATCGCGGAACAGGTCAACATTTAGTAATTTACAATCAATACACTAAATAATTTCTGTTATCATACCCTCTGTAAAATGGCGCAAAACGAAAATCCTAGACATTCAAATGAAAAATTGTTACATCGTTTCATATTCCAAAATATGACTTAATATTTTGCTTCGTTGAAAAGAAATCAATTTCAGAAGATAGGAAAAACTCGGTAAATGCTATAGGAAGCAGGAAATATGCCAAAAGCGAGCCATGCATGTGTGTGTACATGGCACAGACGGTATTATAATGATAGGGACTGTATATATCAGACAAGGAAGATAAGTGAGAAAACGGATTATCTATAAAAATATGTTCAAAAACTTTAAAAGTTAGTAAGTTCGTGGTAAGAGATAAGGCGCTTCAGAGTTGCTGATCTTGTGAAAGCTATGAAATCCGGATAAGGCTACATGTACGTAGTTTACTATCGCATCATCGCACTATCGAGGTTTGGGCTGATAGTGCAATTACGCAATAATGCGATGATGATGAAGCGATGGTGCGATAGCGATGATACTATGGTGCGATGACAATTGCGCAATGTTACGGTGACAATGAAGCGATGTTCACTATCGCTCCATCGTGCTATCGCACCATCGTCATCACATTGTCGCGCCATCGCAATATCGTCATCGCGCTATTGCACCGTCATCGTTATCGCACCATCGCTTTATCGTCATCGCGCTATTGCATTATCACGCCATCGACCCTTTAATCGATGATTAATGTTGCGATGGTGAACTACGTGGCCCAGGCCAATCCTGATTCCACGGAAAGCACTGTTATATATACGCAGTAAAATAAATGTAACATTGACAAACAAAATCATGCTATTGGAATATATAATTGCTAGCAAAATACATTTCAAGTGATATAGATAAAAGTTTTTAATGAGTGCACTGGTATTAGTTACATAGTTTTTTAGTGACAGGGTACGGGATGATACCTGGTTAGTAAATTTCATACCTGGCGAGGCGAAGCCGAGCCAGGTATGGAATTTACTAACCAGGTATCATCCCGTACCCTGTCACTAAAAAACTATGTAACGAATTTACCCCACCGATAAAATATTTATGCATTGTCTGTGGTTTGTAAAATTGTTTTTCTCACTATATATGACTGCCGTCATGAGAAAAGGGCCCTTAAGGTCAAAATTTCACAAATTGACTTTTTGGTAAATTTTGATAGCCTGACTCTTTCTGAATGCAAATATACACAATTTTTAAAAATATCTCACTTTTTCAGTGTTTTATGAGCATTTTAGTAAGGCCGCTTCAAAACAACGTTGACGTTACTCACTGAAAACGTAATGCCGTCGCGTGCGTCAAATTCAGTTTCCAAGCATTCTTTAAAAAAAACTACATTTTTAAAATAACCTTAATCGTTTTAACACATATAAAGTTGATTTTTTTTCTTCCAAGCAGCTGATATGTAATTATTCATAAGGGGAGTCGCATACTTTTTTCATACTATATTAGAGTCAATCTAGTAATTTCGTAAAAGGGAGGGGTGGGGGTCTAGACAGGATCTAGGAACGGTTTTTTATTCAGTCGAAAAATTAATAATTGTTGAATTCCACACAAGGTTTTCTTTTTATAATTAATACTCTATTTCAATTTATAAAAGATATAAAGCACTTGAAATATTAAAATATAAAAAGATCTATATAGATGTCCCAGAAGAGCACCTCGTGCAATATTAAAGCGGGACATCTCGCAAAAGAGCACATCGATCCCGACCTAAAAAGATATTTTGGGATATAAGCACGCATTCACTCACCCACACACACGCACGTTACTTTATCCCCTACAACTTTATTATGAAGGCATAATAACACCTCATGTATTTTCTGTATCACCGAAAAATTCTAATGGGAAATAAATTCATATATATTTCACATTCACGCCATGATGTGTAAACTTTTTTTTTTAAGTTTCAGAAAAAAAAATCATATTTGATTAAAAAAAAAATCTGTTCACTACCTCCAAGGGGATTTTTCTTTAACTTTTTTTTGAACATTTTGATAAAAATGTTTAAATAATTAAGTTTCCTTTGTTTATACAATTCAATTTCTTCGCCTGTCTTAGATATGATGTAGAAACATAACAAAGAGGCATATAATGATGTCAAAGGATCGTTTTATGAACGTTTATTCCGTACATGAAAATTTAAATTTTTCGCCAATTTCTTACTTTTTAAGCAAATCACACTTAATCAAAAGCGGGGGGGGGGGGGGGCAAGAGGGGGCCTGCCCCACTTTTTTTAGTATAGCTTTTTGCTTTAGCAAATTTTGTTTTCATAGGTGCTGGTCCCCTCCCCCCCCCCCCCCCAATTTTTGTTATTGTATGGTGGAGCACTGACAAATTCCAGGATTTGAACATAAGTTCTTCCCCCTTTTTCTGCTGGTCTCCCCCACCATCACCACTCTTTAATCAGTATAGGGTGGGGTTTTATTTATTTTTATTTTTATTTTTTTAAAGTGGGTGTCAGATTTTTGGAGGAAGTCCCCCCCCCCCCCACACTTTTGAATTTGTAGCTACGGACCTGCTTGAATATATGTATTTTAACATAATAAAGGTCATCTATTCATGTTCCTCTGTGGCATCAATTAATCCTACATCTAAGTTTTTCATATTTAGATGCAATGAAATGTACATAAAAATATATTCTTAAACAAAAAATAAATATTACGTCCGATACACATGTTCAAACTTTTTTGTATCGGTTAAGCAATATTCCATTGAATGTTTGTAACTCTACCACTCTAACTTGACTTTCATAGGCGGCTTAGTATCTGCTTTTGTCTTGAAAGCTAAAGATAAAATAGATAAACCATTTTTTCCTAGTTATTGTTTCAAAAATTAAAAAAATTGTCAGAATCTCGAAATTAAAGAACATGACTCTTATTTTTGCCTGTTACCACACGACTGAAATAGAAACATTTTTTCCTTTAAAATCAGCAAGATGTGTGTGCTTGTTTAATCCTTTTCCTTCAGTATCCCGATAGCAACGGAACTTTCAAAAAATGTCGAGATATCCGGGATATCGAGATATCAGAGCTGAGACTCGACGTCCAAGATTTCAACACTAAACGTGACTGATATATTACATACGAGATGTACATGAATTCAACAGTCATCCACAAGAAAATGTTTTTTCTAACATATTTTATGGTTTTCAAAGTTTTGCCTGAACCTTTTTTTCCTCTCGAAACATCACCAGTGTTAATTTTTCTTTCATCTTTATCAAAATTTAGATTTCTTAATTGTCTTTGTTGTCTTACGACTGGTGTGGTTGATGTTTTTAAACATTTTCTTAACATTTGAATATGACACCCATAACCGCTTGTTACAAGTACTTATTCCACTATCAGTGATTTATTCTCAAAAGATGTCGCCATATCGACATTTATCAGAAGTTTCTAATTTCTTTACAACCTAATTTAT